CTCCGGCCAGGCGGCGGTGTCAGCGAGGCGCCCAGGGCAGGGGCTGCGCGGCTCGCTGGGCCCGCGGCCGGTGCGCTGCAGCGCAGGCGCAGACGCAGCCGCAGCCGCCCCTGCTGCGCCGTGTTCCGCGGCCCCCGAGCGCCCGGCAGCCGGCAGGCCGCGGCGGCTTGAAGGCGCAGCTCTCTTTGCAGCTCCTCGCCGCCGGTGCCTGGCCCGGAGCTTGCGGTTTCCACCGCAGCTGGGCGCTGCCTCGGCCGTGTTCGCTCAGCCGCGCCCAGGGGCCTCTCGGGCGTCCTGTCAGCGCGCACGTGGGACTGGGAACCCGCGCCTGAACTGGCGTTAGTGCAACCTTGCGCGCCCTGGAGGCCATTTCTGCGGCTTTCTCCCGGTTCGGAGCGTTCCTCCAGGAGCTCTTCACAATCCAGTTTCATTCTAACCCCTCTAAATAATTTGGAGTCGCCAGCAAACCCTCACTGCGCTCAACTTCCAAACGAGGTGAAAGGCACCGACTTCAATACTGAGCCTCGTGAAATGGCACCGCGTGTCCCCCCATTGCTAGAAATGGCAATCTCTTTACCAGTCCGTGAAACAACTCCGCCTCATATTCTGTCAAGTTTTGACGAGTTCAGTATGTCTGCATAAAAGTCTGCGTTTACTCAGGGGAGGGAAAGCCCAGTCAACCTGGATGTCCTGTTGTTTGGGGGCTTAGCATGACCAGTGTCCCCCACCCTGGCACCCTCCAGATGGATGCTTTAGCCTACAGGTCCCATCCTCCCTGGCCATTGCTTCTCCACTCTGTCGTTAGAAGGCGCCCACTTTGAGCTTTGCTTAAAAACACTTCATTAGCTACCCCTGGAAGGCACCCACCTCTCTCCACGGGCGGTGGAAACCCCTGAGCAGACGGCCAAGTTCACATCAGTGCTGGGCCTCTTGGCGAGTCGACACCGCATCCAAGATACGGCCTGGGGCACCGGAAGGGCGACGGGAGGAGCCAATGGCTGCCGCGGCAGTAAATAGCGCCACGCTTGGGTGGCAGGCGCTGCTCAGGGACGGGGGCCCGGGCAGGGCGCTTCTGGGGGTGAATATGGGGAAAAGGTGGGATGCAGGTGGCGCAGTGGTTGAAACTGCCGGGCTGGTTGATCGAAAGGTCGCCAGTTCGAATCTGCACAACAGGGCGAGTTCCCGCTGCTCCGTCCCAGCTCCTGCCAGCCTTGCAGTTCGAAAGCAAATGCGGGTAGATAAACAGGTATCACTTCGGTGGGAAGGTAACAGTGCACCTTGGTGTTTAGCCATGCCGGCCACATGCTCCTCCGCTAGGAAATGGAGATGAGCACTGCCCCCTAGAGTCAGACATGACTGGACTTAAAATCAAGGGGAAACCTTTACCTTTACATGTATGTAAATTTTTAAATCTGATTTAGGGGATGCTGGTCTCAAAAGGCAGCTTACAATATTACTAAATATGTTATGATTAAGCACATGGAAGTAATGATATTTATGCAAGATAATAAACCGTTATAAAAAGTGACTATTAATGCTAAAATTAATTCTTAAAATAGCCATTGAATAAAAAGGTTTTAACCTGGCACTGAACAGAATATAGATTCGGTGCCAGGCACACCTCTCCAGGGAGCGCATTCCATAATCTGGGTGCCACTGCAGAAAAGGCCCTGCTCCAAATAGTTGTTCTTTTTATCTCCTTTAGAGAGGCTCCTGGAACAAAGCCTCTCCCGCAGACCTTAAGGGGCGTGAGGGCACGTAAGAGAAGAGACGCTCCTTCAGGTATCCTGGTCCCAAGCCGTTCAGGGCTTTATAGGTCAAAACCAGCACCTTGAATTGGGCCCAGACTTCAGCTGGGAGCCAGTG